CTGCATACATATACGTGCAAGTACATTTATTTATTTCTTTTCTTTCATTTTAAAATGGATCTCCGACGCAGCAACCTCCCCGTAGTGAGATCCGGTAACCGATATTGCTTAGTTTTTGCTGTGAAATTTAAATTATTTAAATTTGTACTGGTAATCACAGGCTGAGCCGATGGTTCGCAAAGTAAATTAGAAATTGACGGAATATATAAAATTTCATTCACAGACAATTCATATCCTTGTGCAATCATTTTTCTTCACAGTCTATTAGTTTGTGTTTTGTTTTCCCTATTTTTCTTATTCTTTTTCCTACGAAGACGATATTCTTTACATTTCTCTGCATTAGTTTTAGGCATCTCGAAAACTTCAACAGAAATTTAAATGTATATGGACTCTGGTCAGAAATATCAAAATATAGATATCAGTCAATACTAAATATAAGGGAGTAATATCAAATTACTTTATGCGTCAACGGGCATGGCGCGATGACAGCACTAGTTCCTACTTGATCATTTAAGTTAAGCAGCGTTTTTGAATACGATTAAAACTTGGATGGGGTGACCGCTTGAAAAAAAAAAAAAAGAAGGAAGAAGAAGAGAAGATTTCATGCCGTAAATTTGAAATCGCTTTGCCCGCGCATCGTAAATATCGACAACTTCGTGGTGTCGACTTTTCGGTTGCATCGTAAAATTCTCTCTCATCACTTTTCCCAAACGCGCCAAAAGAAGTTTAACTTCAAAAAATGAATCCATTAAAAATAAAGTTACTGTTTTCTCTTACATAAAAAGCATCGAACTAAATTAAATTTGATATCAGATCTGCATAAGTTGGCATTCAGTTATATTTGATTATCGAATTTTCAAATTTCTATTTTTCTTATTACTAGTAAGCACGCTAATCGTATCGCTTCCATAGAAATGGCGACAAAATCTTTATCCTTTTAAACACACCGATCGAAGTTTCGAAAAACAATCACATCATCTTACTTCACGTCTAAAAATACGTGAACATATTCGTGTCGATTAAATTAATGCTTTGAACAGTCTGAAATTATTCTCGACTTTTCGTTATTGTATCTGGTCGATATTTCGGCGTGTAACATTTGCCTCGTAAAGCGTATCATCGATGAACAAAAAAATCTATTTGAAAAGAATTAGATTATGGTAAGTGTTGCAAGGAAACGTATTAATCTTTCAAATTTTGTTCTCTGTGGAAACGAAAAGTATGAAAAAAAATTAAACAAGAAAAAAAAGACAAAAATAATAATTCTCGTATAAAATAATCTTGTTTGAACTGGATACGATGAGGTGACTTGCGTGCACCTTCAGGAAACTCCATTTATCGATCTTCTGATTCGCTTTCGCGCTTTCGAAGAACGCGAACGGTACGACGCAAGCTCGTACCGAACGAGAGGAAAGCTTTCTATGTGCTAGTGGTAGGGTGCCTTTATATGTTGCTTAGGTCAATGTATGTGTTTAAATGAAAGGGTGAGAAAGAGAGTGAGAGAGAGAGTGAAAGAAAGAGATAGATAGGAAGATATACACATACATATATCTATATACATATCTCCCACTTCATCTTTTCCACCTCATTCTGACTCTCTCTTTGGAGTTACCCGCGCTCAACGTTACGTTACGTTACGTTTCCTCGAAGTACTCTACTTCTTCTCTTCTTCACTTTCATCATCTATCTGAACTCAGCCGTCATCATCGGCGGCTACGTAAATATACATACATAGACACATCTAACTATATACGCTTACGTATTAAGAAGAATCATTTCTGGGTTGAATAGAACCACGATACGAATATGCCAGAGAAGATGAGCGATCAGGAGGACCTGGAATACTGCATAATGTTCCCGTCTTTTCCACCATCACCAAAGGACCCAGCTTTGACGTCTTCCACGACCAATGGACAGGATCATAGAGAAGAATTTGTTTTCGTCTATGAAGAAGACAAACGACCATTGGTTGTTCTTCTTGGATGGGCTGGATGTCAGGATAGATATTTGGCTAAATACAGTGCTATTTATAAGGAGAAGAGGTAGGATCATTTCATAGGTAACCTTGTGTCTCTTTCTTTCTCTCATTCTTTGTCATTAGAATTCAAGGTCAGCCTCCAAATCTATACATGCTTATTCATTCAATCAGTCTGGTAACTATTAAAGGAAATGAGTCTGTCTGCTTCTCTTCCTTTTTTCTGTTTTCATTAACATTTCGTTCGATACGATTTTGACGATAAATTTGACGTCAACCAGCAAAACGGCAGCCGGTGGTACGTTTGTAGTCGACGATTATCGACCGCTCCGTACCGGCTTTGCACAGATGCTGCTCACTTGGTTCGGGGATTCGGTTTTTTGAAAATATAATATTTTTTTGTCGTCTGACAAAAGTTTAGGAATTTCGTTAGGTTTATTTTCTTTAAGACGCGTTAATTACTGTACAGTAATTTTGAAAATGTTCGATGTTGTGATCGATCAGTAAACACGTGTTGGAATTTACTTTTAATTACTCTACTTTATATGCAGAGAATATTTTTCATATATTAATTTATATGCCGCGAGCTAATTTTTATTGATTTCATGAAGTACATTTTGACACAGCTAAAAGTTACATAATACAATATTTCAAATCATATTTACATAACAACAAGTTAATTTTCTGAATACGAAATTGCCCTGACTACTAAAAAATGTCCAGATTTAATAAAGACAGAATTATTTTCATATAAGTTGATAAATAACTTGAAAATAGACATAAAATCTTCGTTAACCATTATATCAAATGTTAACGATAATATTACTTGAGTTGTATTTAATATCAACTAAAAAAACTATTATATAATATTACTAACAAATCATAGAATTCAATTATTTCCAGTTGCATCACTCTTCGTTATACAGCACCGATGGAATGTCTTTTTGGACGAAGAAACAAAATGCCTTATATAGGCAAACGATTGTTGCAAGTAATTGCTAAAAACAGTTTGAACGATCATCCGATATTCTTCCACATATTTAGCAACGGTGGCGCTTTACTTTATCAACACATCAGTATTGCAATGCAAGAAATGAATTCTCCGATCCAGGTAACGGAACAATTTATTTCTTAATCACTTTTTTCTATAAGAATATTAATTTCTTCATAAATGTTCATTTTAATTTGATCCCACAGTCGCAAGTGAAAGGAGTGATCTTTGACAGTGCACCAGGTGAAAGAAGAGTTACATCCCTGTTCAAAGCTATCAGTGCAATCATTGGTGGACATCCTCTAACAAATATACCGATGTCTTTCTTCATTACGATCTTCTTATCAATGTACTGGTTCTTCGAGGTTTTTATCGCCTACTTGTTTCTCTCTTACTTTGTAGTGATAAGCCTGATTCTTCAGGTACAGGGTAAATTGGTTTCAGGATAAAAATAATACAAGATTTAAGCTCATTACCATAAATTTTATGCGATGTTACTGCGATAATATCTTTAAAAAAAACAAATATTGAAAATAAAATGGTATTTGATTAGTTATGTAGTATCTTGTGGAATACTAACAATCGCAATACTATACCTTCGCTTGAAATTTATGATATCAAGCGTAAATCTTCACACTCTTCAATGTTTCAGAAATGATTGATGATAGCAAACTCAATAGAAATGTAATTTATACAGGTGATCGCCCATGCACTTGGAAGAGGTTTCACCATCCAATCGAATCCTTTCGCATTGATGGAAGAATCATCTTCTTGGCCACAACTATTTCTTTACTCGAATACCGACACCTTAATTCCTGCTGCAGTTAGTTTATACAAATGTTCTATAACTCAAGTTTAAAACCTATGATTTTGATCTCGAGTATTTACCAAGATAAATTTTGTATTACAAAATAGAATTATATTTTCAGGACGTTGAGAAATTCGCAAGCCGGCGTGCAGAACGCGGAGTACGTGTACAACTAGTACTCTTTACAAATTCACCCCATGTTAAGCATTATGCAATGTATCGAGAGGTCTACGTTAACACAGTTTACAGTTTCATCAACGAATGCCTGCAGTCTGGCAACCCGTCCAAGAGGTTTGAGAAATCACCTAATCTTGACGAAGATCATATCGAATCCGACGTTTACAATTCGCAACCTCGCCTCACGAAACGTGTCGTTTTGCCTAACGAGGCAACCAAGTATCAAAATTAGTAGTCATACGCGCGAAAGAACAAATCGTCGATAAAATGAAAAAGATAAGAAGAACAAGCATTTTTATTAGCAAAAATTATCTTGCATTATCTCGTCGCAAGGAAATTTCAAACACACGTTCGTTGTCAAAACTTACGGATATCGAAAATCGGTTAATACTGGTCATATTTTTTTTACTAATTTAATTTTTTTAATTATTTTTATTTTTCTAAGCAAATTAACGATGGAATAAGACGAACAATGGAATGATAATTTTTTTTTTAATTTATATTCTCCTTTATATATAAGAAGAAAAATTTGTCAACAAAAAAAAAAGGAAAATTACAAGAAAACGAAAATTAGTATCGATTTTCGAACTCCGTTAGTTTTCAAAAACGCGTATATATATATATATATATCTTCGTTGCTTTTCAATTTCTTCCCCTTTACACATCTTCCATTTTCCGACAATCCGAAAGGCGTATGAATAAATAAGTACGTATAGAAGGTGCCTCGATTGATTGTAAGTACATAGTACGAAAAAATAAATATGTACAGCAGTACAAGACAAACCCCAACAACAACAACAAAAAGAATTAAAAGATAAAAATAAGTAATTCCGCAGGAACACGTTCCCCGCGTAGTGAGTTTATAATGACTCTAGGTGCACTTTGCTGCTGAATTAATGATCAACATAATATAATAATGATTCTTATTATTATTATCATTATTATTGTTTGAACAATATTGAGAGAGAAGGGAGAGAGATTTATTTAAATAACATACGTAAGAAATAGAGAGAGAGAGAGAGAGAGAGAGAGAGAGAGAAAGAAAGAGAGAGAAAAAAAGAGAACGTACTATAAAATATGTTTAGAAAATATAAAAAATACAAAAAAATACGAGGATCCTTCGAATAGCTCTGAATATCTATTTTTTGAAACACGATTGTAAAAAGAGCATGGATCCTACATTATATTATCATTAGTATTATTATTCTAATTATTTAGATTATAATAATTATTATTATCTGTTATTATATGTATCTCATAATCGTGAATTCGATGATTAGTATGACTCGAATTATGACTCGCGAGTAGTTGGTCAACTTGGTTCGATGATAAATCGCACAAAATACACATAATATAGAGTTAGAATCTTGATTTAGCTTTCGTCATAAATCAGAGATTTCAAATTGCATCGTCATTAAAAAGGAGGATTTAAAGAAAATTTCTCTAAACCAAATCCTCCTCTTCATCAATGATTCCTTCCCTTCCTACATTGTGTCTCTCGTTATATCAGTACTATGTTAACGCGAATATATATAAATGCAAATATATTTTGATCTGTCGATTAATTACAAAATAAAGACTGATAAATACCTCTAACAAATGTATCATACAGTTTTTTTTTTGTATAGGCACATATATAATTTTAAAATAATAAAAATGAAAAAATATTTATTTGATTAAAATATAAATTTCTCTGTGTGAACGGGTAAAAAATATATAATTGTAGTATTATTAATAAAATATTTACAATGATATATAATTTGATGATATAATATAATTAAAAAATTAAAAATAGTACATGTATTTTTTTATAATATTTTTAATTATTATATTATTAAAGTATAATATATGAAAGATCAGACTTTTAGGTGAAATTTGATAACTTATGTCTCTTACAAAATATACATGCATACTATACTTAAACAAAATACTTATTCAATTTTAATCAAAATCTGAATTTTATATTCTTTTGCTCGACCAACCTTCACGGAAATTTATCGATCATGATCGATAATGAAAAAGATGATAGTAATCGATTTTTCAAAAAAATTTCTGTCAAGAATATGATGGTTAACATTTGACAATAAAATAGTAACAGCTAAAGAATGAAAACGTATTAAGATCCTAAAAAATCTTTTGATTAAGAAAATACTATTTGAGAAAAAATATAATTTTTTCTTGGTAGAACTTTTGGAACTGGCGTATATCGAAAGTAGTTTTTCGAATTTTTCGCGCGCGCGATCCCATTATCTATCTACTTTTTTACCAAACCGTGTGGAATCCCTTCGAGGATCGAGATCGCTAAATCGAGAAGAAAAAATTCGTCTCAGAGGACTTTCTTATTTCGTTCAAGACGTCGAACAAAAAGTGGAACCAAAAGAACTCGACGAGGAGTCTACTAAATTTGAATTTAAAGTCAAATCTTCGAACAGGTACGAAATACTACATGTAATACAAGCTGATCAGAAAATTTACCCTCAAATAAAGAAGAGTTGATAATAGAAAATGAGTTATTGAATTTCAGTACTAACAAAAAATCACGAAAATTGAATCCTATGCGAAAAACTGCTACTGTAAGAGCTCATCCATTATTTATTAGAAAAGGTGACAAAGTAATTTTTAATTTTCAACACTTCGTAAGTCCTGAGAACATTTTAAAGGAATACATTCGTTTTAATATTCACAACAAGTAAGTCTTTTAATGGTAGGTTAAAATTAAATACAAAGTTTAAAATTTACCAGTTCGTGAATCTAACATTTAAATCGATTTTGAATCATTCTTAAATAATTAACAAAACTTTGGTAAAATTTTTTGAAAATTCCTTGGGCCATAATTTTGCCATCTATGATTTACACAATTTCTGACCATAACAATTAAAAAAAAAAAACAGATAAAAAATTTCCTCAAAATTTCAAATAGAAGCAGACTGGCTAAAATTGACAAGCAGAAAATATTGGAAGCATTATGCTCGTTGCATTGCGATAATCAATTCAATTCTGATGTAGATCCGTATGATTTAAAATCACGAAATAATTCTAAACACGTAAACGCGGAAGGACGAACAAATAATGAAAAAATAATGTCGGCAAGAAAAAGTAAAATAAAGCAGAATATCGTACGTAATTTTATTTCTTTTAATAATGGTAAAAATAATCTTAATTTTATAAATGAATCAATTTTAAATGATTCAACAATTTTTTAATAGAATACAGAAAATGCACTTTGGATAACTAGACCAGCACGTACATGGCAGCCTGCAAAAAGAATCTCTGCAACAAACAACATCGTGTACGAATTCAATCCTTTTGGAAATGTTGAAAATAACGATACATCAAAAGGTTTTAACAATTCTAAAAATTCTATATATTCATGTGGTTCATTTAACGGCTTGAAAGGTATTAAAATATAAAAATGATGAAGAATATACGATAATTTGAAAAACTGCTATTTATTGGATCAATATTTTAAAACATTTGTTTATCAGTATTTTAAATAAATGATCAATATTTATACTGAAAAAAAATATTAATCTATACCGGCCATTTATTTTATAAAATATTAATTTAAAATGTACAAAAAAATATTGACTAAATAAATAGAAGTATAAGTTAATTAACAATAATTAAGTTTTGGTGGTATCTGTTTTATTGCACAGTTTCAACAATTTCTAAATCTACAACAAACGACAGAAAACATATTGCAAAAGATGCAAAAGCACGTTCTATTGTAACATTACCGAAATTAAATTCTTCTCCTAATAATTCAATGAACATTTTTGAAAAAAATGAAAAATTGACGAACGTTTGTGAAAACCAGGCTTCTTTACCTTGTATTCTTAAAAGGACAGATTTAACGAAAAATGAAACGATTTCAAAAGAATCAGATAAGAAATGTAAGTCTTATAATCAAAATCGAATTTCATTTTGTAAACATATCCTGTATATATAAAATTCTATTGCGTACAGGGAAAATAGCATCAGCAAAATTAAATTATATAGATCGAGATGTAGAAAAAGTTAAAACGAATTGGGAACAATTTCAAAAACATCACGATCGCAGAAAAGAAAAATACATCTTTAATCCGCATATGAAAAAATTATACGAAGTATTAAAAACCACTGCGTGCGATAAAAATAAGATAAAAAAAAATGTTGACTCAACAAATGATCAGGATATATTATCAAAGAATAGCAAATTTTCCAAACATTCTGAAATGATTGATCAACGTGACGTTGAACATATCAAAAACGTGTTATTTCCAAAACAAGATCAATTGACCATTGTAAAATCTACAAGAACGAGTATCGATTTATCTAGTAGAGAACTTAAAGAAGATATTTTAGGGAACGAAAAGAGAAATATTGTTGAGCAACAATCGTTGTTTACAGAAAAACGATTGCGGATTATAAACGATATCTTAACCTACGAATCGAATTTACTAAATCCTTATAAAAATGATTCCTTAAATAATAAAACATCACGTAAAGTTAAAACCGGGATAGACAAATATTTAGAGAAGTATACCACAAATTTTGATAAACTTAATACAATAGAGCAAAAAAATGTAACTATAAAAGTAATGGAATCTCAAAATGACATCAAAGAATATTTTAATGAAAATTTAAATCATTCTTTATGCGTTAGTGAAAAAAATATAAATAATTTCGAGAAAGATGGAATCGAAACATCTCTAAAAAATAATGATTTTGGAGAAAATAAAGAATCAGCTAACGAAACAAAAAACATAGACACAAAATCGATTGAAATTTTTGACGAGTTTAATGAAAAATTACCAAAAGAAAATACATTCGTAAAAATGGACTGTAATAATCTAAGTCTACCGAAAAATATCTTAGATAAAGTCCTTCAATCGGAATATTTAAAAAAAGAATTATTTTCGTTGTATCCTATGTAAAATGATATTTAAAAAGAAAAAATAATTGTGACAGAACTGGTGTTTTTTATTTGTTTTAATTTTTTTTTTATATATAAAAATTGCATCTTAAAACACATTCTTTATGTACATTATCGACTTATACACAATATACAATTTTTTCTATGTGCAAAATTAAAATCTTGTATATATATATATATATATATCAGAACATATCACAAAATGTTACCTATTAATTCGTGTAATTATGATGCACAAATTAAAGACGAATATGTATGTTATTTTAGATTCATACATGTTCGTCACGAATCTTAACCAATTCCAGTTTACGCATCAAAAATGGCACTGTTGCAATGTTTCCATCGCGTTTACAATAGTCATCACTAAACACTTTTCACACTGCATTTATTTATAGTGTTACGAGTCTGTTAAAATATATATTTCTTATATTTTGATATGTGTTTTTCAGTGGTTTCTATGTAATATAGTAAATGTATGCCATGTTGGATCTATATATGCTAAGATTCTGAAACTATATATTCTTGTGTATATAATTTTTATATACCATAATCTCCTCAATACAAATATATACATCCAAATAAACATCACAAGCTACCTTTTTTCACGGAACAATCGATAATTTTTCCTGTAATTGATCATATCACAATACTGGAAGTGCTGAGCTATGACTTTGGTATATTATAGCACCTGTGAAATTAATTGCTGCAGCCAATACAAACACTGGCATCCATCGACCATGAGAAGCAGTTACTAATTCAGCCGTTAATGGACCACAAAGAATACCAGGTATAGTGGCCTGAAAAATTTAATTTATTAATTAATATAAAAGTATATTGATACTAACTATTTGACACATCAACTTTTATAAATAACATAAAACTTATATACTTACGATAGTATTTGATACAGCAAAAGTAATTCCTGCATGATTTGGTGCTATGTCTGCATGATTGCTGAGATGTCCAGAAGAATTGCATGCGCAAAGTCCCATTGATATAGAAATAAAACTGTTCAATAAAAAAGTATATATTATTAGCATATACTATATATATATATATGGATTCGCCACGACAGCCGCTATCAAAAAATAAGTACCAAAACATAGCATTCCATTTAAAAAAAACAAACTTGACTTTTAAATCTCAAAAGCGACTAAACCTAGCAAAAAAACACTGACGTCATATTATACTTCCGAATTTTTCATGTAACTTTCGTTCTATAAACTTTTTTGTTATTATCATACTTTTGGAGCTATCTTGGTGACTAGAGTTAGTCAATCACCCTGTATATTGTATATATTCATAAAATTATTTAGAAATACTTACATTACTGCAGCAAGTAAATTATCCACTGCACAAAATGCCAATAAAAACGCTCCTGGTCCTATTAAACCTATATTTGTCATCAGTCTTCTTACAGATAAAACAGACCATCTTTTCTGTATAAGATTATCAGCGCTATGTCCGGCAACTATAGAAAAATTTAATCCCACGTATTATACCCTATGCAACTGCTTTAAAAAAATAAAATACGCGTGTAAGATACATACCGATACCAACAAGAGAATTGACAATATATGGAAGTGCCGTTAAACTTATGCTTTCTTTATTAGCAGATATATTTCTTGTCAAATAAGTAGGCAGCCATTGCATAATTATATAATTACTCCAATTCATTGCAAAATGTGCTATATACAAAGCCCATAAAGGCCAATGAGTAATAAATTCAGTCCAACGTAAGTTTCTATTTTGTGTCACCTAAAAATATAATGAAAAAAACGCTATTCATAAAAATAAGTTATTAGTGTAATAAAAAATTTACCTTTGGTACGAAGAGAGGAATTTCATCCTGAGAATTAATTTCTTGATATAATAATAGCCACAACAAAGTCCAAACAATTCCAATAATACCAAATAAATAAAATCCACTTTGCCAGGACAAATTAGGACAAATCTAATAATAATAACAATATAATTTAATGCATTGTAAAAGATAATTACGAATGATGATAAATTTAAAAAACACTTACAACAGATGCAACAACTTGGCCAACAGAACCAGCAGCTACGAGATAACCAAACGCTCTTGATCTTTCTTCTATAGGTACACTATGCGCAAATAAATGAAATATCACTGGCAAGCCTAAAACATTCACAGTTATACATCCGACATATGAATATCATAAGGTTTTATAAGAATTCTTACCTAATCCTTCACCTAAACCAAGAATAACTCTGCAGATGATAAGCAATGGAATAGATTGTGCCAAGAGTGGTGTTACTACGGTACTTATAGACCATAATAAAACAGCCAACATTAGTACTGTTTTACAACCAAAACGACTTGCTATACTTGCACCAATAATCTAATTAACATATTATTATTATCTTATTTAACAATAAGATAGCTTAAATGTTCGTATAACATCATTTGTAGATCAATTAAAGCTTAAAGCGCCGACTTATTTATTAAAAATTTTAGCTAGAACGTCGAAATATTCATTTTATGAAAAAAATTTATATTCGAAAAAGATCTTTATAAAGAATTGAAATAAATCAATTTCTAGATAAAATAATAATCAATGTTTAAATGTGTATATTAAAAGGAGTCTAGCGCTTCGAGTGTTAACTTAATGACTTTTTTGTCTATTTAAATTCCATACCTGACTAGTAAAATAACCAAATGCAAAAGCGGATAATATCCAACCCTGCCAATGAAGATTCCATTTAAATTCATCGGTCATAGGAACGATTGCTATCGGCATGATAACTCGATCCGCTGCATTAATAAAATTCGCAGCGGAACAAAGTGCAACGATCCGCGATGTACGCGGAAGCATCTTGAATTTTGGCATCTCAAAACAAACTCGGTATTTAATATGCCTTCAAAATTTACATCGCACGACAGCTTAACGATAGCCTAACCTCTTCTAATATGTAAAATTAATTAATTTACTTCAGCATTGTAGCAAATGAAACTTTAAACAAATCTTTTGCGTGCATCGTTTATCGTAGAATAATACCAATCCTTTCACCGATAGTGTTAAAGTTATTAAATTGACGATAATTTACACATACTATAACTGTGTAAATCGTTGACGTTGTCCGACGTGTCAACTATCGGATTACATCTCGATATTGGCAGTTCGATAATTATCAAATACTCTCGATTTGAGCATATATATCGATAATCGTCTTGTTAGATTTCAAATTCAAAATTTAAACTAATCGATAAATAACATTTACTTTCACTTATTAAAATATCGATAATTATTAAATAAATTTGCAAATTTATTTATCACTATAGTCCATTTATGTTTTGTCATTCAAGTTTAATAATTACTCGTATCCGTTTTCATTTGATTATGAGTTCTAACAATCAATGTTACCATTAAGCTGTGATTTTTCAATATTTAATCAATGAGCTGCGCATGTGCGCGTATCAGTATCCATATCTCGTGTCAGCGAGATATATATAAGGAAATTCAATGAAACTATCCGGCAAATATAATAGTTTATTATTCGCAAACATTTACATTAAGAAAACAAAATGGGACAAAGAGTCTCGAGAACAGACTTCGAATGGACTTACACCGAAGAACCGCATGCTAGTCGTCGTAAAATAATATTAGGTAAGGAAGAAATCTAACCTTACATACCATTATTTTAATGTATATGTGTGTATGTGTAGATTGTAGAATGATTGTACGTGACATTCTTATCAGTAATTTCATTTGTATGTACTTTATTCTGTAACATTTTTTGCGAGATTATTCATCGATTATCTTTTATAATAATCATTTTTAAGAAAATATCCATTTTATCATTTTGAGAATAGAAAAATATTTTATATTCATATGCTATATATAGGTGTGTGTTAATATAAACAGAATTTATTAATTAGAACTATGATTTACTATACACTTAATGTTTATACATATGTTCTACTTGAAATAAGTAATATGAAAAATAGTTTATGTGATTTGATTTTGATCACTTTATAATGAATCGTTCAAGTTATATATACCATGTTTATTATATTGCAGAAAAATATCCACAAATAAAAAAATTGTTTGGCTACGATCCTAGATTTAAATGGATAGTAACCGGTATGGTTTTAGTGCAATTTTTATCTTTATTTATTGTTAGAGATTTAAGTTATCCTAAACTTTTTCTAATGGCATATTGTTTTGGAGGTATAATTAATCATTCCCTTATGCTTGGTAAGTAAATAAATCAAAAAGAAATAAACAATAAATAATACTATATACTTTTTTTGAAATTTAATATATGTTGCTTGCATACTTTAGCCATTCATGAAATATCACATAATCTTGCCTTCGGACATGCTCGACCTATGGCCAATAGAATATTTGGTCTGTTTGCTAATTTGCCAATAGGGATACCAATATCAATAAGTTTTAAGAAATATCACCTGGAACATCATCGTGTAAGAATTTATCATTTGAATCATTTAATTATATGCTAATAAAAGATTAGAAATAAAAATTTTTTAATGTACAGTATCAGGGAGATGAAAAACTTGATACAGATTTACCAACTTTATTGGAAGCAAAATTATTTTCTACCACATTTGGCAAATTTTGTTGGATATGTTTGCAACCATTTTTTTATGCCTTTCGTCCTTTAATAACTTATCCAAAAGCACCAATAATGTTTGAGTATATTAACTTAATAATGCAATTAATATTTGATGCAATGTTATGGTATTTTTTTGGTAAGAACATATTAGACATTAAAAGTATTTTTTACGCTTTTAATACTTATCAAATCATTGTAATATGTATATTTGCATATATATCAGGTGGCAAAGTATTAATATATTTAATCGGAGGATCACTTATGGCAATGGGACTACATCCTGTAGCAGGTCACTTTATATCAGAACATTATATGTACAAAAAGGGATTTGAAACTTATAGTTACTATGGACCTTTAAATTTTATAACATTCAATGTTGGCTATCATAACGAACATCATGACTTTCCTGCTGTACCTGGTTCACGATTACCTGAAGTATAATCTATCTTTTTACACGAAGACAAAAGAAATCTATGATTATATAGAAATATACATTTATTTATTTCTTATTTATCTCTAGGTGAAACGTATTGCATCTGAATTTTATGATGATCTGCCTAAACACGATTCTTGGACATCAGTTTTATATGATTTTGTGATGGATCCTGAAATTGGCCCATATGCAAGAATGAAACGAAAACATAAAGGCTTAAAATCATGAATTAAAAATATTATACTTTTGCTAATAATTAGTATTTACCAATACTATGTACAGAAATTCTATTATCATTATTACATTTATTACAATGCACAAGTATGATGATTATTTAAATATTAAATTAACAAAATCAAATTTCATGGTCAAAATTACAAAAATCGTAAATATATTTTAACTATTTGTTTTTATTTTAATTTACATAATAAAACGCGAAAATAATGTTACGAAACAAAAACAAAAAGCAGAACTTTCAAGAGTTATTTATAATCAATATGACGGGTTTTGATAAAAATAGGTATACGCAATCAATGTCAATGATAAATCTAATGTTAAGTATAACAATGAAGAATAAATAATTTAGCTAAATAAATTATAATACATTTCCAAGCCTTATAATAATTTAAATATAAGATTTGGATGAAATGATTTATAAAGTAATATTTCAAGAAAATAAGATCGTACAGATATAAATCATACGATAAGATGATTTCCGACACATAATGATAATCCAAATAATAATAATTACTTCATTATACATATATTATATAAATTTTTTTATGAATTTCGGTAATATCAGATATAATTAAATGAATACATTATTTTACACAAATATTTAGTTATTTAGGATCAGAATTTTAATACAACACATAAGAACCAATGATAATAAATTCTATTTTATATAATTTACCATTCTTTAACGTTATTTAATCTTCGGGAAAAACGAACCAGCCTGGTTCTGGCTAAACCCGGTGAATACAAAGTGACTAAAACAGGCTAAGCAAAAAATTTTAATACTTTCATCTTTAGGACGTAACACATGGTCTCGTTAAAACAGGGAAAGAACATTGTAAAAATAAAAAAGAACGCGCACATCCGCAATAATTCTAAAAATAAATTAAAAGAAATGACAAATTTGGTTATATATTAAAAATAGATAGTTATTATCAGCTCTAAATATTGTTAAATCCTCGATTAATCGTTGGTTTATTATATATTACATAAATTATACATTTTTCTAAGCAATATCATTGATATATATTATAAAAGTGATAAATATATAAGAAATACTCGCTTAAATAATCATCAACGTTTGATATAATAATTTGCGACAATAAATAAATTTATTTATATTTGTAATTATATTTCAACGAATATTAAATTTTCAATCTAATGAAAAAACAATGCTATGAATTGTACATTAATAACTAAAAAGTAATATTTAAATAGATGTTTAAAAAAAAAGAATAAATACATAAAAATTGTACGGCTAATTTAAGTTTATAATAACTTTATATATACATCATATAAGATTCTTTTTTTTCCCCTTGTATGTTTTATATCTTTATTTAAATAAAAACTATCTTTATTTCATCAATTAAATTATTAAAAATTGGATATGTGATTAGTAATAAAATAGCATCGTATCAATTTAAAATATATATAGATAACGAGATATTTAAATATAGAATGTAAAAATAGTAGGACAATGATCTATATAGCACTTGAAGTTCTCTTCATACTTCTGGCAATACTTAAGTTAGATTAAACATTTATACATAAATTTTGCAACGTATTTTTTAAAAGCTTACTTTACCTCGAACTTTGAAAAAACCTAAAGCATTTTTATTATGTACTAATGCACCAATACCGCAGTAATTCTCTACAATTATAGGTCCAGTCACCATGTTACATTCTTCTGGTAATAAACTTAAAATTGCTGCATGCATAGCTTCTACGTCAAATTTTGTCTTATCCATTTCAGAACCTATTGTTATTAATTATTTTTTTATATATGCGACATTATTATTGATAACATGCAAGATTTATATAAATATATAAATTATTTTAATCTACCTTTATGCCAAAATAACGGATGACTCGCATACGTAAGCCATGGTATATTTTTTGCAAATGGATTCCACTTTTTACTTAGAGATAGCGGACGTCCTTTATTCCACATTAGTCGTGTGCCTAACATATGCCGCTTTCTGAAAATTCAAAACTACTTAATACGATTCAATTTCAAATTTTACAAACCATTTTTCTCTTTTTTTTCTAAATTCAAATATCTAAATATTACATGTTTATCAATTCATAAAACTATAAAGTATACAAAATATCGATAAAACATGCAAACAATTTATAAACTATAATTTAAAAATATAACCAATTATAAAAATCATAGAACAAGACAAACACAGAACGCAATATAAAAATAGCAGAACTTACATTTACACATTTGTTGGCACAAATGAGACAACTCTTTAAAAACACACAAAAGCAAAATTTCTTATTAGATGAATATAATAATATGTTATTTGCTATGTAAAAAGATTGAATACAGTAGAAACTGTTTTTGTGCGGTCCTTTTTTATGCGATTTCATTTTTGTGTGATTTGTTTTGTGCAATTTAATTTTTGTGCGATTTTTTTTATGCGGTATGTGAATTCTAATGGCGTTCTTACAACATGGTTCAATGATTGCTTTGTACCAGAAGTTGAAAAATACATGACAGAGATGGGTCTTCCTTTGAAAGTGTTGCTAATTGTTGATAATGCACCCGGTCATCCTTGTTTAGAACATCCTAATGTACAAATAGTGTTTTTACCACCAAATATGACTAGCCTTGTAAAACCGCTGGATCAGGGCTAATCGTAACTTTTAAGAAACATTATGTGAAATTAACTTTCAGCTACATTTTTAAAAAACTAGAAAACAATGGAATAAGCCTGAATAAAGTTTGGAGAAAGTTCTCAATTTTAGACTACATAAACCACGAGACTGCAGCAATCGCTAAAATAAAACAGCACTCATTAAATTCGTGCTAGAAAACGATCTGGCCTGAATGTGTCATTAATCGAAATGTAACCGAAAACACGTCCACATTATTATCAGAAATTACTGCGCTCGCACATAACATCAGCGGAGAAGGCTTTGACACTTTCAGCGAAAAAGTATCTTGCCGAAATAATTGAGGACGAAACTGTCAATGATAATGACATTATCAATAATTTGATAAATTATGAAGACGGACAAAAATAACCGGATTCTATGACAGCTGATAAAATATATACAGAGATCCAGCTTTCCAACAAATTGGAAAAGCATTTTCTTCAAATAGCTACCAAAGAATACCGAAAGGAGTTTGAAATTCCAAAAGAAGCTGCGATCATGCATATCTAGCTATTGTGACATTTACAAACAACTGACCAACTGACCGTCGTCGCAAAAACTTATAACTGATTTTATGGTGACAAAAAATAAATCAATTGAAATTATATCTTCAAGTGACGAAAGAGATTTTGAACCAATTCATCACAAGAAGATGCGCGTTTTGGATTACGACGAGTAGCAGTGAATTGTGTACGTACATTTTGAAAATTTCTCCATGTATACAATGAGAAATTAAATGTTTCTAAAATGTTTCCATGTGTAATTTGATTATTTATTTTGTTTGGAAGTACTTTCTCATGTATTTCGTAAATAATTGACGTATTTTCTAAGTACCCCTTTTTTATGATGTCCCTCTCAGCCGCATAAAAAAAAATTTTCTGTAATAAGTTGTATAAAGTTATTTGTTATATGTATATTTATAAAATTTCCGAATATTTTTTTTGTGCGGTTCCTTTTATGCGGTTCCTATCTACCGCACAAAAACAGATTTAATTGTTTATCATAAATACAATAAAGATTTTTATAAATGATAAGTATATATATATAAATATCACAAAATCCATAATGAACGAAAAATAATAAAAAACGAACAATTATAATTAAAGCAGATATGAAATCCCATTCACTCTATTAATATACCTAGGCTCAAATTGTGTAAGATTGGAACATGTAGTGAGTGATGACCATTCTTGACGTACGGCACAATTAATTACGTATGACATTACCTCTGCCAAACCATTTAATCGTCTATAAAAAGTTCATTTTTCTTAAAAATTATAAAATGAAGAATATTAAATTTAATTATAATAGTAGCACTTTAACATTAATAGCATAATAATATTCTGTTTTCATTAAACTTACGGGGCAAGGGATGACGTAGGATAAATCAGTTCGCCTATAACTACCGTGTCAAGATTTGCTAGAGGTATTTTACTATACTCCAATATTTTTAATGAAATAAAATCATATTTCACAGAGTAAATATATGTGCTCGTAAGCAATATAAGCCTTTCTTTTTCGGTATCCCACAAACTGATTCTATAAAAATATATTTTGTTCGTATGAATATTTAGCAAAATCATACAATTTACTTGTATCAATTTTTTTATGCTTTATCTATACATTTATATATATATATATAGATAATTTTTTAATTAAAATATTAAATATATCACAATTCATTATAATAAATAATTATATATAGTAATGCTTACTCAGTTAAAAGCCAGCTTCCAATAATGTCATTAGTACTGACATCCTTCAAAAATTCCTGGCAATCATTTATTGCGCGTTCAACAACTTCTTTTCTATCAGTAAAGAAACTATGCACGTCCACATTTTTAAATGGAGCGTAGGAAATATCTTTAATAGATGGAACTTGTTCTGTGGTTTTAGAACTATCTTCTGTATCTAATTTTGCAGTGATTGATCCTTAAGATAAAATAATATGTTTCTTATTAATTAGATTAAATATATATATATATATATATATATAGGCTATATTATAATGTAAATAATATGAAACATATAAACAAATACTGCAGCATTGAAATAAATATGTATAAATAATATATAATATAAATATGTTAAATAGATTAGAGATAGCATGCACAAAAATATATTCGGTCATATATGAAAATTCATTAATTGAGATATATATTTTATTTAATACTTAACGCATTGTTTATTAAAATAATAATAACATTATTAATAATAATTTCAAGCTTACCATCGATACTTTCTAGATCTTTAGCAATTTCTAAGGTAGCTGTTTGAAAATTTACCGCGGGTTCGTCATCCAAAGGTACTTTATCCATTTCGTTGTTGTTTATGTATTTTTAAATATCGTAAAATACACTGTAGAATTGAATATTTTCAATGAAGTTTTATTTAATTTCTTTTTATTACGAGAAGTGTGTAAATGAATAATATTAATATATTATACTTATTAGGTACACAAACATTTTAACAAGCCACATATTCGCCATTTCTTATCATTACAGATGGCGTACGATGACGTATTGACAAAACGATATCATGAAAAATAATTTTCATCAGCGCCATTGTATATATTCTCTCTCATATTTATTGTATTTTTTCTTAAATATATATATAGATTATTTTATATTTATATATTTTATTAAATCATTTATTTGAAGTATTGAAATTTGACATTAATATGCAACCACATAATTAGACATAAGTTGATCATGATATATAAGATTTTCTATTTACGTACATAGCATTAAATATAATTGTGCTTATCATATTCATGCTATTCTCAGACCACACACCATTAATCTGTAAAGAAAAATCTTTACTATTTTACACTGTACAACATAACAAATTTATAAAAAGTATTCGAACATATTTAGTTATAATGTTATTTTGTACATGTATATCTTATATGTGATTATTTTACACATAAATATTGTTATAACAAAAATGTAAATATATTCTCATTATTATCGTCATCATCCTCATCATCATCCTCATCGTCGTCGTTATCATCATTGTATTACTTAAGTTTCTTTAAAAATCATTTCCTTCTTTTATACATACTTTGGTTTTACAATATATTTTTTTTACATTTCGATATTTAAATATTTTTATAACTTCGTAAATAAATATATATTTATAATCCATATATAAAACTATTACATATATATCCGGAAAGGGAAATAACTTGTTTTTTTACTTATATATATATATGTATGTATGTGTGTGTATGTGTGTAATATGTGTAACTTTCATTTTTTACAGTTTATCTTTTCGTTTCATATTCGTGTATTCGTTTGTATCAAAATTACATTTACTATGTGTGCGAACTAACAGAATGTACATAAAATTATTTAATAGTTAAGTGCAGAACTATACGCTACTAGAAAAATAAAATTATTTCTATATTCTCTTTTATATATAACACAGCAGCATATTGTGCCTTGCATCAGTCTTATTACCAATTATTTTAAGCGTAATAAGGCATTGCTGATGTGCACTTGCAAGAAGGGAAGGTCTGTTGACTAGTTTTTCAAGTAAAGTAAATTATTATCGAATTATATATATAAAAAAAAAAAAAGATTATTGTATTACTACTCGTAGGATTGAACATCATCAAGCATATTGTCAGAAGATGAAAGTGTTAAACAACGCTCTTCATGCATTCCTTTAGCATAATTGATTTGTCGTGAAACCTAAAAAATAAAAATAATTTTTAAAAATATGTTCATAAACACATTGTAAATTTTAATAAAATATTACGCAAGTACTTACATGTTTAGCAACTTCCTCGTTGTCACAACGAACTTTTGGTCTTCTTAACAGTTCAGGACCATCAGTTATCAATGATCCTGAATCCATTCTAGATATTAATTCTATGTAATATAATGTTATGCCATTACTTTCAATTTTATGCATCGGCTGGCAATACAAAAGATCTGCTAAATTGACTTCAGTTACAACAGCTTTCGTTCCTCCAGAAATTACACGCACTCTTTCATTAGAAACTAGTACTTTTAAACTTTCAGTACCGCTGCGTAAACATTCGTATGCCAAAAGTAATTCCGAATAGTCATGATTGTTAATACTGTAAAGAAATTCTTGTCCCTCTGCCTGTTGTCGATTATAGGGTGGTAATAAAACAGCTGCACCACTGGCGATACGAGGAGGTCTGTCTCGTTTTGGTATCGTACGATGAGCACTAAAAAATTAATGATATTTTTATAAATTTTTGAAAACATACGCATGTAGTAGATTCTATCATTTTTTATTTTTATACCTTCTACTTGTTTCTCGTACTGCAGTTGCGGTTTCTGTGGCAAGATCTAATACACCCACAACTGGTTTTGTGATAGTTCCTACTACTCCTTTACCAAAGCCAGCAAAGAAACCCTGAAATTTTTTACGCGATTATTTTATATTAATTTTCTAATGGAATAAATGAATCTTTAATTAATATTTTTGAAAAATCTATATAAAATTTATATTACATACCGGAAATCCTTCGTTAGTAGCTCCATCATAGGTTTGTTTAAAAATACTTGTAACACCACCTAGCAAACCAAAGCCAAGTCCTTTAAGACCTGCGACTAAATGATCGCTACTTCCTGCGGTATTTGCTCGAATTCTTTGTCTAGCTTCTTCATGTCTCTCATCCATAATTACACGACCCAAACCATCTGATAAAGATTCTGTTACCTTAGCTGCTGAGTTTGATATACCGTGTGTAACATTTTTCACCAAAGTTTTAACACTGCCTTCATATATTAAACCGGAAACTCCTTCTGTTACATCATTCATAAATCCAAGAGGATTACCCAAAAAATCAACAGATCCTAATATAACAGCTGCTTGCCATTTTAATTCCTGTAATTATTTCAAAACTAATATAATATCTTATTAACAAATGTACATATATGTATATCATAAGAAAAATCGAATACTATACATCTTTGTAATGTTTTATAATCGAATGCATTAAAAACTGGATATTTTCAAAAGGGTGTTTCTTAACAAATGCTTCTAATTCAATCGTAGCATCTTCAAATTTGATCAAAGTTAAACCCAATTTTCTTTTTATTGCTTGAAGATGAGGTGGTAATTTCATAGTAGTGAGCACACTAAGCTTTACCTAAAATACATTCAATCAATAATTTATATTTGTATTTCTTACAACATGTAAAATTTTAAAATTGATAAATAATTGTGTATAAATACCTGATTGGGGATAATTTTTAACGCACCAAAATAATATCGTTTAGCATGAGAAGCGGACACTTCAGAAATAAATCTTTGTGCTTTAAAATCATTTTCATCGAGTGGCACTTCTATTTCAGATCTACCAGCTCCAACAAAAGCTGCCAATTTCAAAATTAATTTTTCTTCGAGATGTATACACAATGGTTTGATACTAATTATCAAATGTTTATAAATTTCAGCATTTTGATTTTTAGATTTTAATTTTTCTGCAGCCACGTGTATCGCAGGTCGATGATTATTTTCTGTGCGTGGAGAACGAGTGACGTACAAAACGGATGTACATTGTGCTTCAACAAGTTGATTATCAATTTGCACATCTTCAATGCTTGAATCTAATACTGTATTAGTGGAAGTTTGCATAAGTTTCAAAAATATACCAGCGAACCGTGCAAACAATAATTCCTCAGGTGGTCTTTGCGATACTATCGATAATCCCAAACCTGTTGGTAAATTAACATTTAATTGCAATTCATGAAAATCTAGATTTTCAGAATCAATGCGAACATGCGTAGGACGTTGAGTAATAGCAATATGTGACCAGTCACGTTCTTCAAGTAAGGCAAACGTCTTTTTCTACAAGATAAATCAAATCAAATAATTAACAAGATGCAAAATGTTAAAAAATTCGATTGAAAAAGAGAAAGTAGAAGATATTTCTTTATAACTTACTCTCTCCTTAATATCCAATATTTGTAATACACGTGTTGGACCATCGGTAATTACTTTTACCGATAAAAATCCGGAACCTGGTCGTAATTTTTGTCTTCTAACTCTTTGTTCGACTGGTGGTGGATTTGTATGAGTTTGTGGACCTAATACAGCCTCGCTCCCTATATAATATAATACATTTAATAACGTAAAAATAAATATATAGAAAATTATATAAATATATAAGTTTCAATTAAGTTAATCTAATTAGCTTAACATATTAATAAGAAATAATTTTGCTATTATTGTAAAATGTATGCAATAAAGAGAGCAATTACGCAATGAAATTAAAAAACAAGCCGGGTTATTAGCCTATTATATATATTGCATTAGTACATATTATACTTATATATAAATTTTTAGTGTACTTTATATTAATACGTACACATGTGCCAACGGGCAACACTGCCGCCTGTAACATTCATTAATTATTTGAGCCCTTTAGTAATTTATAAATTAATTATTTATTATAGGACTTAGAGATTTTCTAAGCTGCATAGTTAAAAGTTGGCACATATATATCACTGTTTAAATACTATTTGCAACAAAATAATATACGGCAAAATGAAAACAAATACTTAATGATAAGAATGATAATAAACCAATTGTTGCTAAAAATAATATTCTATTCAAAGAAAAAATTCTAATAACACTTATTGTTAAATATATATCAGTAAGATTTAAAGATGTTAAATACTTAAGTTCGTCTATTTTAAATCATATGAACACGTACAAACCTATATATTATATAAAATTTATAAAATATCATTTTAAAAATCTAACCTTCGTGTAATCCCATAAATCCATCTTTTGATTGGACACACATATTTCTATGTGCGCAACACAATCGCCCATCTTCCGTAAATCGCCACGTTTGTGTAGATCTGCGCCTTGGGTCTGGTTTTCTTAATGCAAGAGCACAATAAGTAAATGGTTGCGGAGCTGTGCCAGCTATATCTAATACTAATACTGTATCCGGTGTTTTTGAATGTTTATCTCTTGGAGGACTAGAACCTGTTTAGATAAATTAATATATTTAAAAAAACAGAGTCATTGATATATTTTGTTATAATGATTCGTTCATTTTATTATTATTACTATTATTACCTTCATGTTGTAATTGTCCCTCGCTACTCATTCTCCAAAGTTGAGATCTAGCACCATATTGTTTTTTGCGAAGAACAACCCAACCACCAGGGCCAGCTTCCAACACCAATCTTTGTGTTTCTACATCTAATGGATCTGAACCATTATCTCCTGATCCAAGATCACTGTCACTTTTAAAAGTTCCTATTTAAACAAAAATTATTTTTATATAGTTTGTCGTTTTATATTATTAATAAAAATCATGGAGAAAAATATTTAATACATAATATATGCTTACCAGTGAATGCAATATAAATAAAATTTTCATAAATTAAACTTCGTCCATCTCCAAGTATATTTAAATCATACGAAGCTATAACACTACCTGGAGCAGTTAATACTAAACCAGTTGGTTGGATTGGTTCATCTAATGCATACGGTACAGATGAGTGAGGTCTTACAGACCATTCTAAACTATCAGGTACAGACATCTATAAACATAACGAATAATATGTTACATCAGTTAGTTTTTATTAATATTATTTTATTCTATTACCTGATTAACTATCAACTGAACTTCAGAGAAATTGTCAACTCTTATGGGAGGTGGCATAGTGTCTGCATCCGTAAAGACGATAAAATATGTACTTTCTTGTAGTACTACATCAACTCGTAGAAAATTCATTTTTCCTACTGTATCTCTAATGTTAATTGTTAAAGAATAATTATCATCTAATTTAATACCACCCGACCACATACAATTTGGTATATTTTTAATTCGAACGCATAATAATAAATCTTTATCAAGTCTTGGCCAATGAAATGGCATATGACAATCAGGCATTGATGTTATATATGTTGCTTGAGCATCTGGATGAGTCTAAAAATACATATAATTCAATTTTAAAGTCTTAGAAAAAAGATTATATATTATTTATAAGTAAAATGAATTTCAATTTCAATTACAACTGTGGTAGTGAAGCATCTCTGTGCTAATTCCAAAGTATAAGATGACCTATTATGTAATTGATACCGTGGTGATAATGTTACAACTGTTGTAGCTCTGTACCGTCCTCTAGCTGTACGTGTAGCTACACTAATCAGATATACGATATCAGGTCTGTTCTCTCGTAGCGTCACTCTAAGCCGATGTATCTGCAGAAGATATTTTAAATTCATCAAAGACCAATATTAAAGAATTTTTAAAACAATATTTTTATTTTATTGTAAAATTACAACCAACCTGTATTCCAGGTTGTAAGTGAAAATGTTGAGACCATTGTGGTATACCATTAGGATGAACTGCAGCACCCACTCTTGCTGATAAAGTTCTGCTAGCTTCTTCATCGCTGAATGAAAATAATAATGGTGCAACCATTCTTGCTTTCTCATGTTCTTCAAACTGACCAGCTGCTTCAAATCCAACACCTTCTTGCTTGAAAACAAGTGGCAATCCTGTTTTATTGATAATCCAGTATGGTGAAGTAATGGTAATTTGCATTGCAGAACCCTTTTCAACAATAATAGATGCATACAAAAATAATATTCTGCTATTAACATCTGTTAATTTTAAACGTGCTGTAAATGAACCACTGTTTGGTGGCAAAAATATCTGCAAATATTCATAATGTTTATACCATGTAGAAATAGTAATATTACATATAGAAGTAGTAATATTAATCGATTAAAATAATTTACGTACTGTTCCTGTACCAGGATAACCATCTAAATGAATAATAATTTCCAATTGTTCCTCGATATTTGGACAATGTAAATCAGCATTACCACCAGGTCGGATCCTTCCATTTTCTATTCCTGCTTCATACAACAACTCATATGGTAGTAAATTAGTTAATGTGATAGGTGCCATTATTATTATTTTATGCGCAGGCAATGTTTGGCCAGTATCAATTGGATAATTGTCACGTTTTACAGCTACACACATCCTGTAAAAAAAAAAAAAAATAGTATGAAGATAATGATATCACTCAAAAAATTGATATCTTGCTTAAACTCACCTGAATATATTAAATTGATTACTTTTACAGGCAATATGACTTTCAGAAACTTCTGAAGGTTTTTTAATAATTGTCCAATCTATTGGTTCAATACAATATTGAAACAAATTGTTTGGAAATATTGGTCTGAAACACATCTGCATGCCAATGTGTCCTAAAGGTACTGAAATTACAGACTGTGCAGGTAACTGGATAATTTTTCCACTGACTGATGAATTTAACGGCAAATCTATAAAAAAAAAAATACAATTATATATTAGTAATAATTATGAAATATTAATATTAGAAATAATAATCAGAAAACTAACATCCGAATGGATTTAACGACTTGTCCATCTTAATTTCAATCGAATGTGTCAATTTATTACTTATTTGCAAAGCTGATCTAACTGTGATCAATTTCCTAGCAGAACCTTCTAATTCAACAGCAAATACTATCCTGGTTTTTGAAGATATTATCTGAAATTTAAATCTATGAATACTTCTATCTTTTTACTACATAAAAATAATCTTAATCGCAAAAATATTATTTACCTGATTCTTTAGAAAATCAACGGTTGCGTGCCGAAAATATATACCAACACGATCAACAGTTACTGGATCTACTGCTGTCCAACCATTGACAATTACTGCTACTTGATGTCTTCTTTCGATATGTGTAGCATAATGACGTAATTTTCCTCTTCCTTCAAATGTAAATGGTATTGTATTTCCTGGTGTCACTTCGATCCACGTTTCATCCTTTTGTAGAATACTCTTAGATTTAAAATTTTTGCTAATATCCTTTATATTGTCTGCTGTAGCAATGAAAGTTTTAAACCATAATGTAGATCCAGTTTCATTTTTTAAAGCGAACGGGATAAAAGGCGACCGACGACGATATCCTTGTCCGCTTACTATTAATTTATTAACACCATTTTCCCTACTAGATAAATAATATTCTTGCGTCCAATTGTGTTTAACTAATTGAACAAGTTCTACCAGAGTAGATGTTACATTGACATTTACAGAATCTTGGGAACAAATAAATACTTCTAGTCTTTTTGGATCAAGGGAATTATTAAGAGTTTGTTCCCACCGAACATTGGCACTCCATGGTTCAATAAATGGTTCCCAACCACAAAGTACTCTATTGTAATAATCAATGCCACATGTTGCAGATATTGACCCATTTCCTTGTAATATCTGTGCACCCGTCTGTTTCCACGATAAATCGATAAGTGTTAATTCCGTTAGTGGAACATCCGCATCTCTACAATCATCTATTATGCATATTCTGGCACATGTTGTTTGTACTTCTATGACATTAATCATTGATTCACTGTTCAAAATAATATCAGAATTTGCAGCTGCATTTTGTGTTAACCACAATGCCGCTTCATCCAATTGACCGTTGCATCGTTCTAATGCATCTTTACAATCTGTTTCTGTGAAACCAAGAGCATTTAACTTTGCTATTTGATTTTCCATACTATTTAATAACTCATTCGATCTCTGTTTAGCCCATAATGTCTGTTTTGGTAATGAATTCAACATTCTAAAGAACATAGTTACATCATGATAACTTAATCTCACACATAAAGGTTGAAGTTGAATTTCAAGACACTTCTGTTGTGTTAATTCTATACTAGCACCAACAGGATCAATAATAGATAAAGCAGTTTCTTCTTCCAATCCCAAAATACAAGAGAATAATTCACAATGTGATAAGTTACATGATAATAGCTTTTCATCTTCTTGCGGTACAGTCTTATATGCTATAACAGCTGTACATTTAAGTATTACAGCATTAGTGTCGCATATTGATGTGTCTTCGACAAATACTAATTCAGAATCTGTTATATTAACTTTGATTTCCACTGGCAATAAGTTTAAAGAAAGATTACTATTATCTTGACATACAGTTACTTGAGTCATTCCTGGGATTGGATTAGGTTCAGGTGAATTCAACATTACAAAATCTCTAACAGCTTCCCACCAATCAAGAATAGCTGTAAGTCTCATACTATGCAAAAGAATTGTAGTCGCAGCACTATTGTTGCGTCTTCTATGGTGTACTTCGGCTTGTACACGGCCTTGAGTATTATTGGAATTTTTTAATGGCTGCAAAATACTTGTGAAAACGTTAGATCGTTTATTAACAGGTTCGTCTTGGAATCGCATGTCGGTGATTAATATTTCTTGTGAGACTAAATCAATATCCTGTGATCCATCGCTTAAAGAATCCAAAGTCAGCATTGACTTGATAAAATTAATGCATGCTAATGCTGCAATATTATGATTAGGATGTAATTTTACTGTTACATTTACTAGTTCTAAAGTAATACACGATTTAGTCCAAACTTTTTCTTGATCCCCAGTGATAGGCATAGTATAATCTACCTTATCATTTAAATCTTGCATATAAGAACGTAGATCATCTAAATTTTCTCCAATATTATAAGACAGTAAGCCACGTATTAACATATATTGAGCAGGATCCAAGGCGCAGTCCATTGTTGAAAGTACTCCATGTATACTTAAATCTGAAATTTCTCTGCTTATATAAACATCTAAATTTCGTTCGATACGTAGATTTAGATGGCACATTTCTGTGAGCAAAGATAATCCAATTTTTTTGATAAAAAATCCTCCAACTATTAGTGTATCTATACTTTCTTGATCATCGTATTTAGCTGTTATCCTTTTAGCTGCATAAACATCCATATTAACAAGTTCTAAAAGTGTAACATCTAGAAGACATTCTTCAATAATCGAAGAATTTTCGAAACTATTTTGAACCGTTAATTCTCCAAGATCTAACAAGATTAATTCATTAGATGTAGAGCTGACTGGAAGCAATATTACAGGAGCTCCAGCATGTAATTCTAAAGACAATCTCATACTTCTAGTTTTAGTATCTATTGCAATTCCAGTATCAGCACGTAAGTTTGCCATAATAGTCCAAAGTTGTGAAAAATGCCCGAAGAAAGCTTGAAGCTCGGCTACAAATCTTTGCGTATGTACGTAATGAACGGCAGACATTTCCAATTTTAATCGTGCGTCATAAGGTCTTTTTTTCGAATCGATATAACTCGTGTATTGAACGTTCAATGCTTTTCTACCAGATGAGAGAAATCTTTCTCTATAATATCTGCCATGTGGTGTTAAATCGAGCAATGACATTGAACCCAATGATCCTGATATTTGTGTCTTACCATCTGCTTTTAAAATGACCATACTAGCATTTGATACATTTGCTTTAGCTATCTCCCGATCAGATTGTGTTAATACCAAAGTAAGAGATCTCACTTCTATTTCAAATTCTGATTTTGCAGGAACATCGTACATTTCGTTTGTTTGTTCTAATTCTGTAGGTACTTGATGAGCATAAATTTTAGGATTTGCCTCAGATGGTCCTGCTATTCCAAAAAAATCAAATACGACCATCCATGACTCCACACTTATTACTAAATCTAAACAATTAAAATCAACAGTTACCATTTTTTGGAAATACTGTGTTTCTTCAAAATCGCTGTCGTGTTCTATCATTATAATATTTATTAAAACTAAATTTTCTTCACTTGTAGCTAATCCAGGCGATGGTGGTGGTGTATTGGGAGTACCGATTAAGGATGGCGGAGTTCTACGCCAATGAGCAGGAATTGTTCCAAATAAAGTATCTGCTTCTAATCTATCAGGTAAACTACCTCTTCCATAATTACTTCGAAATTGTTGGATAAACGATAAATCAGGGCAAGATTTAGATACACCTGTAGGCAACTTAGCTCGAACTGGAGCCGATGATTGCATCATATATCGATGTCGAGATCCAATAGGGCATAAAAGATCTTCCATGAGAAGAGAACGTAAAGAAACTTGCATAGTTGATTCATCCCTCTGTAATTTTTCGTATTTGGCAATGAAATCTCGCATCGACAATTCTACCAGTGGCTGTTCAGAATGAGCTTGTTTCAATTCAATACCTAAACTTGGAAGTTCGAACAGTACTTTTATAGACAAATCCAATTTTTCCGAATAGGTTGATGCTTTCTGTAAATTAGGTGATTTTTTAATCACTGATGTACTGGTAGGCATTGACATTAATCTATTCGTAGTATCTAATAATTGTTCATATTGTCCGCGTGATAATGACACTTTTAAAGGTGTCAAAACAACTCCATGAACTTGTACTATCGGATTATTTACAAATTCTGCATCTAATAAAAAATTAGAACTCTGAGTCAATGTGTTCTCTTTTTCAACTATAATTTTCAATAATGTGTCATGTAATATTGGCTTGCCATATTCTTTGCAAGAATACATTTCCTCGGCTCTCAAAGGTAAATTATTGTGTACCTGATTAATATTTGCGGTTGTTTCGAGAGAATATAAATTCATATCTCGAACTTCCAAAGTTATTTTATGTTTCATCATAGAACTAGGCTGAGGTTCATGTTGGAGTGACATTGTACCTAAATGTGCAACAAATACTTGTGTACTATGTGAAAATCGTGGAATTACAAGCACTGGACTGTCTAATATTATATCCAGTTTTAAAGATAAAGTGCCAGAATTTTCTGAAGACATTGATAAACTAGGTAAACGTTTGCGTGGTGGGATTGACCAGTCTTCTGCATTCACTAAACCCATTGCCATATCTGTTGCTGCTGCACTAATTTGTCTAGCTAGATTACTCAAGTATTGTTTAAATTCATCAGCACATGAACGTAGTTCCGACAACAAATGTGGTGCATGCGTGTACCATACACTTCCAACTCGTATTGTTAAATCAACTGCAGTCTCTGCAAGCTCTTGTTGATGATACCTAGTATTTCGTTTAGCAGAAAATCTAAATGCTTCTGATTGATCCGATATGTTAGCAAAATATTCTACCAATTGTTGTGGCGACTCAGCCAAAGGATCTCTGCCAACGCTTAAAATTCTCTGATGAACTTTACCAATGATAGTTTGATCCAATACTTGTAATCCTCCTAAAGATCCTGAAATAGATGTCTCAATCGCCAATGTTGCTTGTATTCGTGCATCTGACATCGTGGCAGTTGCAACTTTTTGTCCAATTAAATGATTATCCTGCATAACAGCCCGAAGAAGTAATACATTCAATCTATGAAAATCAAATGTTATTTCTGTTCTTGTCACTTCTTTTGATAATGTATCTTGATATGATAATGATTCTTGTCTTTCGATCAGTCCAGGTTTTATTTTTCGCGATGGTAAAATTCTTCGAAAAAATCCCATTAATTCTACGATCGTTTCTTGATTAGCAATGATGTCTAAATTATTAAATTGTATATTTGCCACTCTTAAATTTTCCAAAGGATCATAAACCAGTGTTAGTTCTACAATAATTAAAGCTTCTGTATCTAATTTGTCCAATCCAATAAAGGAATTATTTCTAGGTGAATTAAGATTAGCTAAATTAGATAAAGCATGAGTGAGAGCAACTGGAGTGGTTAATTTTTTAGAAATTAAAGGGTCTGGAGAACCAGGTGAGACTGGCGAGACAGGAGACGTAGGTTCAGAATCTCTCAAACTTCCAGATACGCTATCCATGCCAACATGTTTATGACTAGCAACTAATAATTCAAAATCAGGGCCAAATTCTTGAAGTGCATCTACTAAGAGCAATCCATGAACTAACAATGATGCACTCAAATCAGCCGTCCTTTTACTTAATGCCGCTCTAACACCAGATACTTGTAATTCTGCAACACTACGTCCTCGTGATTGTAATTCAAATGTCATTTGATTGATAATGAATTGAACCATCATAGCATGAGTTAAAGCTCGTTCTTCGGTTTCTCCTTTCTTGGGACTTTCAGGTTCCATATTAATTACATCAGATTGTGGAATATTAGTTGACACAGGAAAACTTGATAATAAGTTATACATCAAACGAATCGATTCAACTTTCTGTTCATTTACATGTACTACTAGTCTAGGTAAATTTCCAGATACAGTTACAGATGGAAAATTTGGATCCGTCGTGGTAATAACTCTTCTCTCAATCTGTAAAGATATATTGAATCTTTCCAAAACATGTAAGGTAGATGTTCCTCTAGATCTAACATGTTTCCAATTATCTTTTACTTTTCCTACCAAGATTTGTAAATCTACCAAATCTACCGAATAATGATCATATAATTTTTGATGTAACGCGGCTTCTGATAAACTTTGGAAATCATGTATAGAACCATTTTCTTGACTGCCAGGTGGTGTTGAACATGGAGTTTCAAATCTTTCATCTTCGTCATCGCTATTCGTTGAACTTGCTTTTACAGGTATTTCATTTTCCAGCTGCATATTTTCGATGTTATTTGACAGACGTAATTTTCCAAAATCGACGACTACTACAGCTGCATTAGAATCTATAAAATTTTCTACGAGTAAGATTTGCGGAGCAGAGATATTGAATTGTAAATCCCAAGACAAACGATAAACAAATTCTCCATCCAAAATCTGTTCCCAATTTTTTATAAGGTGACGCCTTGTTCTTCGTTTCATTGCTAGTAATCTTTGATTAGAGGAATCTCTGTGAGGTTTGCACATGAAATCGATAAGCCAATAGATTACTTCTGGATTATATACAATGTCCAAAGATTTTGAGTAAACATGTAAAGAATAATCCGTATTCAAATGTAATGGCTTTTTCTCATAAATCAATTCAAATAATTGTTGAGGCACATGATTAATCAATTTCTCAGACGATCCACGTGCACGTGATGCACTATTTATAACTTGAGGTTGCACCAATATAGGAAAAGTAGAATTATCCGTTAAGTAATCATGGAGATATAAGGCACCTAAACTTATAGAAAATTTATGAGATCCAGACCTAGGTCTGGACTCGTAAGTTAAATTAACTCGTTCAAATTGTAATTCTATCCTAGTCCTTGTATTATCACTATCCTTGTCTGTAGTAGAAAAAGATATTGCTCCCTTCGATAAGGTGAAATTAAATTGTCCAAAAACTGTGTCGCGACCTAATAAAGTATCATCCATTGTGTCAGTCAATGCATCCAATAATTCTCCATCAAAAGTTGATGATATATTTTTGGTAACACTATGCGATGTCTTAGAATACCAGCCCCACCATTGCGGGAACCACTGTACCAATATTCCACGTGCTTGAGGTACATTGACATTTGAAGTTTGTGCTATTTTTGGAGGTCGAATTTTAAACATTGCTAATTCTCTTAATGCCTTAAGCTCTTCAAAACTACGTTCTTGTTCAACTTTTTCTTTTATATGCTTAGTTTCTGGTGGCAAAATAGATGTTGGTGTACCTGCAGTAATAGCATACGTATTAATATTTCATATAACATAAAAAAACTAAGATAAAATTTTAAATTATACCTACCTAATAGTTTATGACATGCTTCGACGTAAATAATATTTTCCTTGCCTCTAGCAATCATATCATCCCATGATAATTGTGGTTTCAATGTTTCTCTGCCAATGTGACATCGTGCAGCATACTTCCACCATTCTTTAGGTGCTGCACTAATAGAAACATTAGGTCGACACTGTCTTTGTTGTTTTCGACGATCTATGCCCTCCAATTGTTTAATGCATTCTACTATTTGTTCATACGTTTCCTACATATATTCAAATATGATTTATTATATTACATTGTTTATCAATATTCCTAATAATTACAACTTACGTCTGTGAGGACTAACGGTACTTCATCCAACAAAAGGTCTACAATAATCCTTGGTTTATTTAAAGATCTTAAAGGAAGTTCAGATCTATCTCTTTTGATATGAGCTCTTGCGCTCACAGGCGATAAAATATAATTCCTAATTAGACTTTTTGTTTCATTCATAGCAATCTACGAATTAATTAACATTAATCAAAAACGATATGAAAAATAAACATTATATCTATTGAATTAGAAACATACAGCTAAATCACCGAGATTAAGGTGACTAAAAAGCTGTTCTTTCTTTATGTAATTCCAGTAAATAGAAAGCCTATCAAGTTCCATAAGTTTAAATGATGCATCTGTAAGATTCCATGAAGTAGAACCTGGTACCCAACTGGCATCGCAACTTTGTGCAGTTAATGCACCTATTGTAATACCCAAAGTAACGGCACCATCTACATAGATGTATAAAAATATAAATATTGGGTTGGCAAGAAAGTAATTGCGGATTTTGATTATAGATGTCTCACTCCCATTTTTATAATACTCGTTAATAATGTTATGATTTTCTTTTTATTATATATGTTATCTGTAATCCTTACTTAACGTTATAAAATCATTGCGCAGATATTATCTTAATGTTCTTTCTTTATTTGAATATTAATATGGAGTGCAAAAATGAACATTTTCGCCATATCTTGCTTTATTATTTCCGTAAAGGAAAGAACGCAAGGCAAGCCGCAAAAAAAGATACGTGATGTGTATAGTGATGAAGCCCTTAAAGAAAGGTAATGCCAAAATTGGTTTGAAAAATTCCGTTCTTGAGATTTTTCCCTAAAAGATAACCAACGTTCAGGTCGACCAGTTAAGCTGAATGAGAATGAAATCAAAACAATCATCGAAGCAGATCGTCACGTAACTACATGGGAGGAT